CTGGCAGAAGTCGCCTCGCTGCTGGAGCAGAAGGGGCAGCAGCCGTGTGTTCCCTTTGTGTCTCTTTTACAAACGTCTCGGGCTCAGGTGTGAACAGCGACAGACACCGTCCTGCCCAGCACCCCTTCTGTAGAGGAGCGTACAGAGCGCCCTGACGCTTCCACTTTCCTGCAGCCGCTCAAAGCCATTCGATACTGAACATTAGAGTTGTTCTTTTTGCTCAGACCTGCGTGAAGTATGAGGAGGGGGACAGCTGTGTGCGTTTCTTGCTCAGGGCCGTTTGCAACTTCATCTGCCAGTGGTTAGACTTAGGGGACGGGTGTGTTTCCCTGGATCTCTTGTGAGCCACTCATTTTAGGGTGACTTAATACGATGACTGATGTCCAGGGGTGTTTTTATAAGTGATTTTCTCCTTCACTTGGTGCAGCCACCCCGAGTCCTCTTGGACCAGGCGAAACGGGGCTCGGAGGCACAGCCTGATCCCATTTCTCGGAGAGGCTTCCTGGCACCGGGGCTGAGCCTGGGCTCACCTGGCTTCTTCCAGGATGGCCCTGGCACCCAGCCTTCCTAGGTGTGAGGGCCGGCTGTGCTGCCCAGCTCTTCCTGGGCATCGGGGCCCATCCGCCCTCTGCCACAGTCGCCTCCCAGCACCAACAGAGAAGGGCAGTGTCTTCAGCTCTTGGTCTGCAAGCCCAGTGCAGCGGGCTGCTCACAGGGCACCAGGCCTGGCAGGGTTGAGTCCAGCCTGTGGGTGCTGGAGCAGCGCTGGGAGCTGAATGAGGCCTTTGAGTGGAGCCCTGGTGTTTGTGTCCCCGAACACAGGGCTTTTCCACCCATGGGTTTCTCTCCCTTGTAACTTTCCACAGCGGAGGCTAATCCCGTGGCAGCCCAGAGTCAGAGTTTAGAACATGGGCAAGCCTGGAAGCGGTTCTCCCAGCAGACGCGGGAGGGAAGGGACCTTCCCTGCCTGTCCCTGGTGGGCAGTGGCGTGACCACAGCTCTGGCATAGCGCTGAGCAATGGGCGGGCTGCCACCACCCGGGGGTCTGTTTCTCTGTCCTTGCTGAGGGTCCTGTCAAGGTAAGGTGGCTTTTTTCAAAGGAACCGGTATTTGGGGGGTGCCAGTAGGCCCTGTTTTACAGGGGTACCCGATGCAAAAGTACATCATGCCTGCTCTCAGTGAATAACGACAGGAGGAAGGAGGCAGCAACACCCAGAAAGTGCCCGGCGGCCCCAGGACAGGGTGGAGAGGGACTCACAGGACTGCAGGGGGCGGCACTCAGGGCCAGAGCCGGCTGCTCTGGGTTTGCTGGCTGGCTGCTGGGAGGGAGGCGTCTGGGCGGGGCAGGGAGGGCCTTGAGCCTCGGCCTCGTTGCAGGGTCTGTAAGGCTCCACTGGGCTCAGCTGGGCTCTGCTGGGCCGGAGAACGGCCTGGGGTGAGGTAACCACTCAGGCTGGACTGGGGGCAGGCTGAAGCCCAGTCTTGGAGTTATGTCGGCCCGTGGCAGTCCGTCAGGATCTAGCTGGAAGCGGTGCAAGAGGGAGCCCGAGGGAAGCAGTCCCGCAAGGGCAGGGAGGCAGGGCGCCCAAGGGGCTTTATGGCTCGCCCGGTCCTGGGCGCTGTGACCCACACTCTTAGACCCTCTCCCCTCGAGCCGGTGTCTGCCGCCATACCGCACCCCTCACTGGGTGACCCCCCCCCCCGGGCGCACCTAGCGGAGATGCTGGCCTGGAGGGCGGGCAGGGGGCAGCTGGGGGGCCGGGCAGGCAGGGCCCGCTGACCCTGTCTCCTCTGCACACAGCTGTCGCCGCCATGCTCCAGGGCCACAGCCCGGTGCTCCAGGCCTTGCTGGGGACCTTCTTCACCTGGGGGATGACGGCGGCCGGGGCTGCGCTTGTGTTCGTCTTCTCTAGCGGACAGGTGAGCTGTCTTGCCTCGTGTGGGGCGCGCCAGGGTCTCCTCGCGCCCCCGACCCCCTTGCCACACGCAGGCTCCTTAATGCCATGGGCCGCAACTCCGGGCCCGGGCGTCGTCTTTCCCGCCCTGTTTGTCCCCCTCTCCCTGCCCACCAGAGGACAGGTGCCCCCATTCTCCCTGGCTCCTCCCTGGCCGACCCAAAGGGACACCGGAGTGGTTCTTCCAGCGAACGCTGGCGGGAGTGGGACTTCCTGTCCCTGGGGGGCGGGACTCTGAGCCCCCTGAAGGACAGTGGGCTCTGGCAGCGACTGTCCTGCGCTGTGGCCTTGAGCTAGTTGGGACCCCCAGAGGCCTCGGGAGGAGGGAGGGGATCGTCCCTGTCTCTCACCTCTTCTCCAGGCTCTCATCCCTCTCCTATGTATAGAGCCACTGCCCATGCTCCCCGCCTGTCACCCCAATGCCTCACAGCGGTCTGTGCATCTTCCCGGCGCCCCTACTTAAGCCCCCGCTGTTCCCCCCGGACACTGAGTACCTCCATAACCTTCTGCACCCCCATCTCTCCTTCCTCATGCCCTGCACCCCCCTACCCCCTACTCCACACCTACACACATCCCTGCCTACTGCCCAGGCACAACTTCTTCACCCCACACTTCCCACACTCCCACTCCCCCAGCGCACCCACTCCTCCACCCACCTGCACCGCCCAGCCCGGGCCTGGAATTCCTTTCTCTCCTCCAGCCCCAGGCCAGAACTGTCCTTTCCTATCCTGATAAGCTCCGGCCTGGTTCTGCTGTCCTGAAATTGTGGGCGTGGCCAGCCCGGCGTGACTCAGGAGTCTTCGAACAAGGCTGCCTGCCGGATCTGGAAACTCACAGCGTCTAGGAGGCCAGCAGGCTGGGCCCTCTGAGTCTGAGGCCAGGGGCAGGTGTCCACGTCGCCCCTGCGCTGCCCCGCCCCCTCGGTGGGCGGTCTGGAGACAGGAGTGCTAGATGCACAGCCCTGAATCCTTGGTGCTGTTGCAGGTGGCGAGAGCTGCTGAAGGCTTTCAGGGGTGTGAGGCCCCAAGAACCGAGGGAGGGCACCAGACCGCCTAACCCTGCTGTCTCACGCCAGCCACGCCCGTCAGCGGCAGAACAGCCGGCTGTCACCTTCACCAGTTTCTTTCGTGTTGAGAGGGGAACGCTTGGGCCTCCGAGGCCGGGCCTGGCTGCTGCAAGGGCCTTTGAGGTCAGACTTAAATGCAGCTGTGGTGGGATTCGGTGGCCTGGTGGCCCGGCCAGCGCTGTGTGGCTCTTTGTCTCAGTGTGCCCCCCACCTTTGGAGCCAAGGAGCCCCTTGTTTGTCCTGCGTCGGGATGATTACCCAGGTCCGGGGAGGAATTGCTGAGAACCTTGTTCAGTGTCCTCAGCTGTATTTGAGTAGACACAAGTGTCCGTATACTTATTTTCGTTTTGTAATCCAGATCAGACTGTAGGAAATACTTTGTAACTAGCTTTTCTGACTGATTTCCTCAGTCCTCACCGCTGCATCTCCCGTGTTTCTCTGCTTTGAGTAACTTTGGTTACTGAAACGGCTGTGTAATATTCCACCCTAACTGGCCGCGTTGGGTCACGTGATCATTCCCGGCTGTTGGACAAATAGGTTAGGTCCCTTTTTCCTGCTTGCAGAAATAACGTGACCGCGACCATAAATCTCTGAGCGCATATCTCACTGGCTCTGAGATAGATGGCTACCGGTGGAATAATGGGTGTACTTACCTTAAGAGAAGCATAATTTTTCTCTATCCAGGATCCAGAGGCAGGCTGGTAGAATGATTTTATTTGGCTTCTTTATTGCATCTGTCTGATGTGATTATATTAGTCGTTTAGCCCAGCCCTGCTTGCGTCACGGCATGCCTAGGGAAGAATATCATCTGTCTGGCTCCCCAGGGTCAAAACCTTCCTTCCATCGCACGCTCAGGTGGGAAAGAAAAGGCTGCCGGGGGCGCAGGTGACTGACCCTGGCTCCAGCTCTCCAGCCTCTTGGGGGTTCCAGCTTCGGGGTAATCAGCGCCTTTGCATGCCTGGCTGTGTTCACGTGGCTGAGATTATATATCCCTAATGGAGGCCACCGCTTACCTTTTTTCTATTGAAATGGAAGATGCATCTAGAAAAATGCACAGTTTATAAGTGTACCGCTTGGCCGCTTTCTCAGACATGCCCCCAAATGCCACCCCGAAGAGCCAGAACAGGCCAGCCTCCCAGCAGTGACTTCTTTCCAGTGACCACCCCTCTCCCACCCTCCGTGGCGGGAAGCTCCCTCGCTGGGCTCTCAGAGTAGAGATTAGTTCCCGGTTGTGTACCACGTGGAGGGGGTAATCCCATGCGCTGCTCTCCTGGGTCCGCTGGCCCCCCCCCGTTTCCCGCTGCCCCATCCGTGTGTCCGCTGGTGTCCGCTGGTGTCCGTGCGTCTGCTTCCTGGCTGACTTAGGCGTCCTTCCGCGGGGGAATGGCTCCTCGTCCTCAGCCCTCACAGGCAGTGCATGAGGAGCATTTGGTGTCTGTTTTCGGTGAGCCCAGGTGGGTCAGGACCCAGGGAGCGCTCCTGGGTGCTGCCTGGGGTTTGCTTTGTTCCCTTGCGTGGGTGTGGCCTGGGATGGAGGTTCCATGCCCACGGTTGTGGTGCCCGCTCAGCCACGGGGAGGGCAACGTAAGAGGCACCGTGGCCAGGGCCAGCCGGGCGCCAGGTGGACACAGACGCCAAGTGACTGTGGCGGGGGGGGGGGGGAGGGGTGGAGGCTTTAAAGAAAATGTCTCCCCTGCTCTTGGTCCATTTTGTGATGGGCCGAGGCCGGGGCCCCAGGCGTCGGGTGGGGTCGCCCTCCTGGGCGGGGCCAGGCCTACTCTGTGTCTCTCGGGCCACCTGGCATCCTCTTGTCCCAGCGCCCCTTAGACTCTGAAACATCTTGTTTTCATTTTCAGAGGCGGATCTTAGACGGAAGCCTCGGCTTTGCCGCAGGGGTAAGTAGCATGTGGTGGGTGGAATGTTCGTGGCGCCGTGTTTGTTCTGACTTGGCTCTGCCGGGGCGTTTCCAGCCTCCCCATGTGGCCTCGGAGCACGACCCCGCTCCCGGCAAGCGTCCCGTCACGGGAGCTTGATTCCTGCTCCTCACATGTCTCTGCCGCTCTTCCGAGGGTGAAGGGGGCTTGGCAGCTGCTTCAGGACTTAAAAACAACCTGATATTTAGGAGGGACCTAGCCCAGAGCCTCATTGGCAGCAATTAGCTTTAACTAGATTCAGCCTCCTCCTCTGTTTCCCCTCAGAAGTCCTTCTATCATAGACATTTCCAAACCCTGTGTGCCCGCGGGCTCCCACCCCAGCTGCCCTCGTGGTGGGCATTTTGCTGATCTCATTTCCTCTGCCTTCCCTCGGCCTTCCTGGGAGGTGGGATTATTTTATAAAGGCGACCCCCAGGCATCCTATCACTTCACCTGTAAGTTCAATACACACCTCGAACTGAGCGGCTTTTTTTTTTTTAAACACATCTATTTATTTATGCATATAGAACTGGGGGTGCAGAGGACTCACCAGAGACAGAGTGGGGAGCAGAACAGGCGGAATGACTGAAATCCAGTGCTGAGGGGAGCAGCGGGGAGACAGGAGAGGTCTGCTGCGCCCTGGGGGTCCCTCCCTGGCTGGGGTGGAACTCCAGTGGCTGCCACAGCTTCGTAGTGCTGCGCCTAACCCTGCACACCAGGAATGTTGCAGGGTAGTCCAGAGTGGACTGGGCCGCCTGTCTGTGGGGCCTCATCCTTTCCCTTAACAGGAAGGCCCCCCGCACTCGTATTTTACGAGAAGCCAGGGACTTACCTGTAGAAGGACTCACATCCGAGGTCGGCTGCTGCTTCCACGACATGTGGTCGTGTGGTCTCAGCGCTCCGGCCTCCTGCAAGCTGCGAGTTAGCCTGGGAGCGGAGAAGCCGGACTCCCTGGTGTCCAGGTGTGCGGCCCGTGGGGGCTGTGCATGCCCACCCGGCTGGGCTCCTCTGGAGCGTGGTGTCTGCACTTTGCACTTCGGTTGATGAGGCTTTGACTCCTTTCCCCTGCCTCTCTAGCCTGGGGATTCGCAAAAGCTGCCCCCAAGGTGGGCCCCCTGGAGCCTCTCAGTCAGCGGTCTGCACAGTGGGGCCAGTGCCCCTTCAGGGGCACAGAGACTTCCGGGGTGCAGGGCGCATAGATATTGTCAACGGGGTCAGTTAACACAGGCCCCCGGGTGTGTTGGCCTGGGGTGGAGAAAGCAACGAGCTAATCACTGGGCCCTGGGGACACATCCTTCACCGACTCAGACGCTGTCCTGTCCCTTGAAGGTGGATCTCACTGAACTGGCAGCCCCTCTGAGCTTTCAGCCCCTCTGAGCAGCCATTTGGGGACCTGTTCTAGACTCTAGTTTATGCTTTTGGGTCAAATCCTGTTGTAAGATTTATCTAGCAAGAGACAAGTGACAAAATGAAGCCAGAGAGGGCACAGAGAAACCAAAACAACTAGAGGTCAGTGGTCTCCCTCCGCGAGCATCACGACATCGACATTTAGGGTGTCCTGTCCTTAGCAACATCAGACTGGGGTAATATGGTCTTATTCACTTAACCAGGGGCATCTAGAACAGGCTGTAAGTCGTTGGTAGAAAAAGAACTGCTAAAATTAGTTTATGTGTATTTATCAGACGATGCCTTGTCCACTTTTCTAAAATTGACCTCGACTATAAGCTAGTCGCACAAAAGCCCTCCTGGGAGGTGGCCAGAAGCATTGGAAACATAAGAGCATGACGTAGAGAGCAGTCGGGACTCAAACCCAGGAAGTTTCAGAGGCGTCCAGAGCTGGAAGTGGAGTTTCATAGCTGCTTCCCCACACCTGGGTGAGACAGGAGAGTCCCGGCGGCTGGAGCTCCTGGCCCTGCCCTGCAGCTGTACATTTCATGTTGCCAACCTCGGCCAGGACAGCGGCTCTCAACCCCCAGGGGACATTCAGCACCCTGGCTGTCACTGCTGGTGTCTCGTGGGTAGAGGTCAGGGGATGCATTGGAACGTGCTCGATGCACAGAGCAGCCCTTGCCACAGAGAACCTGTCCAAAGAGTCAGTGCACCCAGGCTGGGAAATCGAGAGAACCCCCATGTGTCATCTCTAGTCACCTGTGTAAAAGTCCAGATGTAGTTGTAGTTAAAAAAAAAAAAAAAAGACAGCCCCGTTCCCCCCCCTCGCTCCCCAAAGATCACCACTGTCCACAGCGCAGCTGCCCGAGAAGCCGGCTGTGCAGTCGGGGCAGGCGCACGTGACACGCGCCTGGCCCCTGAGCCGGTTCCTCGACAAGCCCTGCTGCTCCCTTCAGTCACCCCGGAGAAGACAGCGCCGGCTCCCGTGGTTGCCCGCGGTCCCAGGGTACCTGGCTCAGGTATAACCTGGTTTTACGGTCAGGTGTATTTGTTGCCTGTGCAGGGCAGTGTGTCGCTGGCTCAGTGCTGCCGTGCTGTGTTTATGTGGCAGTGGAATCTGCACAGAGCTTGTGCTCTCAGGGAGAGCCCTGAGGCAGAAGGTGTGTGTATTTTGAATGTTGTTTTCCTCATTAGCAAGAACTCAGAAGTGTTCACCAGTTGTCCTTAAATGATTCCTCGGGAAATCCACTTGCCTCTTTTTTCCTTTAAATCACTCTCCAAGTTGCTGGTCATCCTGGACTGTCTTTTTCAGTACCCAGGTCTGGCCTGGAGTCTTGCCCGAGGCATACATTTAATGGGGCAACCGTTACCATTTAAAAAAAGAAATAAAAGGGAGAGTCATTGTCCCCTATTAGAGTCCTGAGCAGTGACACTTTAAAGCTGGAAAAGGTTTTAGATGATTAAAAGAACAACTGTGTGTTGAGGCCTCCCCACGGGCCAGGCGCCTCGCCACCCCTGCGGCAGGTCATCTAACGTACCTTTCCCAGTGGCTCCAGGAGGCTCTCCTGTACTCTCACTTTAAAGGTGAGGCACAGCCAGCGGAGATCTTTGTTCAGATCTCAGGTGAGCAGAACCGGTGACTGAACCCTCTCAAACCTCCAGCTGTCTCTTTGCAGACGAGTCGAGGCCGGAGAGATAAATGACTTACACAGAATCGAAAATTGCTAGATAGTGGGAGCAGTAGGACTGAACCCAAGTGGAGAGTCGGGGCGGCCAGCGTTCAGCCGAGAGACCGGGGCGACTCTGGAATCTTCCTGGACCTTACTCAACTCTGCCGAGGACCGAGCACGTTGAACAAGATGGCTCACTAGCAGTTTCCTGGGCCTGCCCGTTGAGGGGGAGGGTACCTGCCAGCGTTAGCGTATCTTCTTGTTGTAAGGCAGTTGTGAGGGGGTTTAGTTCTTGGCTTACCGGTTTGCCACTGTTCAGTGAGCCATGGAACCAGGTGACAGATGATCTTGTCATCTGAGCAGGAAGCAGTTACCACGCAGATCAACGTGTGGATGAACTTAGGCTGACGTGTCCAGGCGGCCACTTTAACCTTCTCCACTTCAGTCCCGGCGTCTCTTTTGGGTGGGGCTGGAACTAGGAATCGTTAAATCAGTGTATGTGCTCTTGACGAAGAAGCCCTTGTGCGGGATAAACAGGATGCTGAGACCACAGGAGAGAAAGAGCGACCAGTCGGGAAGCTCCACGTGAAGGCCTGCAAAGGCAGTGGGGTACCCTGTAACCCGTCGGGGGCTGCTGCTTCTGAGAGACCCGGTTTTCTCCAGCTTTTGGGCCGCGTCTGCTTCTCTGCGGCAAGTGGTGAGAAATGCTCCCCCAAGGAAGCGGTCCTCTGTTGGGGGTCAACGACGCTCCCTTAATGATGGCCTCTGCCTCCGAGCTGGCGGGAGGGTGCAGCCAGCTCTTCTCCACGGCCTCGGGGACCCGGATGGGAAGAGGCGGACTTAAATGGTAGTGCGAGGGACCCAGGGAGGAGAGAGCAGTCAGCTGCCCTGGACAGCTTCCTTCTGGGGTCCGTAGTGGCGAGAGAGCGGGTGGGCGGCAGCCATGGAACGGGGTCTTCAGAAACCCTTGCTGGGACACGGATCCCGATGGGAAGCAGTGATGCTGTTAGCTGAGAGCCGCTTGCTGGGTCCTAGTGGAGACTTTTGCAGTGTGAATTCACCTGAAATGGACCACAGCAGAGCGCTGCTGGACGGTGGAAGGGGGTGCCTGCACGGGCTCTGAGGATGCCCCGCAGAGGTGGTGTCCCCTTCCTGGGCCTGTCCCGGCCTCTGGGGTGATGCAGTTCCTTGTTCCGGGAGCAGAGCCCCCCCGACCCCCCAGCATCATCACTGTAGCTGGATGGGTCACCGTGGAGCACCTCTCAAATGCGCTTTTACAAGATTTGGGGACCTGGGGGCCCCCAGAGCCTCCTGGAGCCTACTCATAGTGGGTTTTCTCGCATTCCGCTGGCTGCAGTGACCAGGGAAGGGATGCTTGCCTGGCCAGTGCCCTGCGGTGGGCGCTCCGGGAGAGGCGAGGAGGTGCCCGGGGCTGGCCTGGTGCGCCTTTGAGCCTCGAGTCATCTGACGAGCTGAGCGTGGCCTGGCGCACGTGGGAGCTGTGGGGAGGCCCGACCAGCCACGGCCCGCCATCCACCCCGATTGCTCCCTGTTACAGGGCAGGGAGCGGGGCACCACTGAACCCCAAACCTGCCTGCTCTAAATAGGTTCTGCTGTCCACCGCATCAAGACATGTAAGACTTTAATGAAAAGGGACTTTAATACTGTGAGTATACAACATGGAAGACAAAGCATATAATGTCTAAATCAGACACCTGAAGTGACCCGTCCCCTTGTGGGCCAAAGTCCACCCAAAAGGGGTTGGCCCAGAGCAAGGCCCGAAAGCTGCCACGAGCCTAAAGCACCCTCTGGCCAGGACCCACAGAAAAGGGTCAGACAGGGCCAGACTAGTCTGGGAGGAAAAGAGCAACATCAAAGTCAAGATAAACGCTGCCATGGTCACCTCCCGCGGTCTCTCGCCCC